GGTTGCGAGGCTGCCCGCGGCCTCTGCAGCGTCGGTTCGATCCCCGGCTGCTCCCAGCCACCAGAGGAGGGTCCCACATGGCGCGCAGACCTCTCCTGCCGCCCGCTGCTCCCCTCAGCAGTGTACTTCGGTCCTTCTGCCTGCTCTGCTCCCCACTCTGGCTCTGGTGAATTCTCTCACCCTCCCGCGCTTCTGACTGTACCCAGTGCATGTATAAACAAAACAAACAAACAAACAAATAAATAAATAAATAAAAATGCCTCTATAAAAAAAAAAATAAAATAAAATAAAATGCATAAAGAAGGACTAAGGGCCAAGAATATTACTAAACACTACTGAAGTATTACTGTAGCGGAGATTTATTTTAATGCTATTCTAGTTAAGACAGGAATAATGCTACAAAATAGAGAAACAGATTAATAAAGAAAATAGACTGAAAAAACAAACACGTGTCATTTCATAGATAGGGCACTGTAGAAGAGTGGGAAAATAGTTTCTCTCCTAATGCTGAGTTCTGAGACAACTGGGTAAACATATGGGGAAAAAATGTAAAAGGCAAAATCATAACACTTTCAGAATACAGTACAGAATTATCTTCACAATCTTGAATCAGTAATGGACTTCTTAAACACAATACAAAAAGTACTAACTAAAAAGGAAAAAACTGACAAACTGGACCACATTAAAATAAAGAATTTCCTGTTCACAGAAGGACACCATAAAAAAATGCAAATACAAGCCACAAAATGTGAATATATTTGCAATAGCCATAACCAACTAATGGCTACATCCAGACAGCATTACAAATACATAAAAAAAAAAAAAAAGACATCCATCGGAACATGAACACAAGAAGAAATCCAAATTACCAATAAACCTATTAAAAGACTTATTTAGGGCCTCCCTGATGGCGCAAAGGGTTAAGTCACAGCACTATGAAGCTATCCTCAGCCACTGCAGCACAAGTTTGATCCCTGGCCAGGGAGGTGACCCACAAGGCGCAGCAAACCTCTCCTATCTCGCCCGCTGCTCCCCTCAGCAGTGTATTTCAGTCAATCTGCCTGTTCTGTTCCCTACTCTGTCCCTGGTGAATCCTCTCACCCCCTACACTTCCGGCCTGTACCCCAGTTCTCGTATGCATAAATCAATCTTAAAAAAAAAAAAAAACTTATTTATTAGTAGTCAGAGAAAGAACCACAGTGAGAAATATACCAACATCAGGTTGTCAAATCTGACAATACCAAATGTTGATGAGGATGCAGAACAGAGATTTTCATATGCTGCTCCTGAGAGTGGAAATAGTATAGTTTGGTATAGTTTGGTATTATCTAGTAAAATTCAGACCTACTACACTACAGCCCAGCAATTCTTCTCCTGAGTTAAGTCTTAGCAAAACTAAAGCATATATGCAGCAGCATTGTGTATAACAGTCAAAATGTAGAAATACCCGATATATCCATTAACAATACAATGGTAATTAATTACACAAACAATGGAATTCTATGCAACAATGAAAATATACTAACTACACTTCTAGGTGATAATGAAGATGAAGCTCACAAACACAATGCTGACAGAAAAGAATACAATCAATATGATTACATTAATATAAAGTTCAAATGCATACAAAATTAAGTTTATAATGTTTAGGAGTAGATATCTACAAGGCAAACTATAAAGAACAACAAATAAATAAATGACTAAAGATAGGATAGTGGTTTCCTTTAGAGGAAGAAAGGGATCAATTCAGAAAAGAGGCAGGAAGGATTTGGGGTGCTGTCAAAATTCCTAGACCCTGACAGCTCTAATATGAGTTCACTTGATTATTATTTTTAAATATACATAGATATTTTTGTACTTTTCAACAGAAAGATTACATATTTCACTATTTTTTCAAAAGACACACACCCATCAGTGCCATAAAAAGAATCATTTTCTTTAGGCAGTCAGTTTTGCTTCAATTCTAAACATAACTTTAAGTCAAGTAATATTTAAAAAAAGAAAAGAAATGTAAAATGAAGATTTCTCAGGCAAGAAAATAACTTACAGAGTTGTGTAATGCTGAAGTAAGGAGGGAATACAACTACATGATGGAAAAATGATTCAAATAAATTATACAAGATGATCGCCTATTTACAATTTCATTTTCTAACAGTTACTAATTTCCATATACAAATAATAGACTCAATTTTAGAAATAGTTTTCCACTGCAAGCTCCTACATACCATAATAAGTTTTGATAGCTTTTTCCCCCTGTAGAAAGAAGTTTATAAATCTAAAATTTCTAGAGAATCTTGGAAAACAAAACCTTTTAGGTAAAAGAGGCAAAACTAGTCAGATAAATTTAAATTTTCTTTTAAAAAAATTCACCTTAATTAGTGTTATAATCCAATCTTACTTCATTTAAAAAGGCAATAAAATAGTATTTATATTTTAATTAAAATACGAAATTTAAGCTTTACTCTCAGGAACATTTATGACCAGGAAATAGGCATTTTCTAAAATCAGTATTCTTAAGGGGAAAATATAAAAATTCCTCTTAGGCAAACAATTCCATACTAGAGATTTTCAGAAAACAAAAAAACCTCATCTTATTTAGTGTTATAATCCAATCTTACTTCATTTGAAAAAAATAGTATTTATCAACAAAAAACACTCAGCCTATTCCTTGGAACCACAGAACAGTGAAATGAAAATGACAAAGAATTTATGCTTTTCATCTATCACACTAACACAGTCAGTCATCAAAACCACAAAAATTATCCTTGACACAATTTTACAGTGTTAAAATACATGGAGTCTCTTTTCAGGAAATTTTCAATTTATGTCTTACTATATAGAAAGATAACATTTCTCTTTGCAGTCATTAAAGAATTAAGTCAGAAAGTTAGTCCACACTATTGCCTGTGCCATGGGAAACCAAAGAAAATGGTTTACAGTATTATATTCACATATCCCTTTTCCTGCTTTACCCAATATTTTGCATCTATAAGCTCAAAATGGGGTAACAGTAATTTTGACCATTTACTGAGCCCTAAGTATATGCCTTATACTTATCATCTCCTTTAACTCTCACACACTGAGGAGCATGTCTTACAGATGAGGAAAGAGATATGGAGTGACTTAAGTAACCTGTGCGAGGTCACATGCTGCTGGTGAATGAGGGGGCTGTGATACAGCCCAATTCCAGAGCCAGTGTCCTAAGACTACCCTGTTTTTATTCAATAAAACATTTACACCATGGAAATAGCCCAGAGTCACCTACTCCCTTATAACTAAGGGATTCCAGATACTCAAAGGATTTATTTTTGCCTTTCCTAGACACCTATATCTTCACAGAACATTAAAGGGTTAAAGAATTAAACATTTAGGGAAATCTATTATTTTCCAGCTAAGAGTACAGAGGTCCAGAATCGTTGGCTGTTTGGTCCAAGACGTCAAGCTGGTTAATGACAGCCAGCAACTAAACGCAGTTCTTGACTCCCAGGAATGACCGTCCCACTGCACTAAAAGCCCTTCTACCAGAAGTCTATACTGTAAGTCTTGCTGAAACCCATACTCGCTCTGCACACAAACCCTGAAGTATACTTTGCAAACTTTCACACCCTACAATAGCTTCACCAGCACCCACAGGTAAATAACATACATTCTTTCATTTCAACAGCTAGAGACAGATGCACTGTGTGCTAGGGCATTCAATGAACCTAAACAGGTACACTGTGGCTCCCGGTCTTACACAGCAATGTAAGCTCAGTTACTGTATGTGGTAAGTGCTACAGTAGAGGTGTGGACATTGTGTCTTGAAGGCATACTTAAGACTGCATATTCCTTCAGCCTGAGTAAAGATAAAGCAAGGGGACTGTGATGCATTTGAGGTGGGACAAAGGCAGAAGTGTAATGGTGCTCAGACAGGAGGGAAAATGCCATCACTTCTACGGAAGGATGTTCAAGGCAACAACAATAATAAATATGAAGTCAGAAGACCTGCATGCAAATCTAGGTTGTGACCTGGTGACTTTGAACAATTTCTGAGTCTCAGCCTCCTCATAGGTGAAATGTTGAAACTACTGACCTGCCTTCCTTGCAGGACTTCTGCCAGGCCCAAATGATGTGAAACTGCTTTAAAAACTACAAAGTCCTGTATAAACCTACATTATTTATGGTTTCACTTCTAGGCAACCCTGTGGATTCTTCCCCCAAAACTGTGTTTCCGAAAAACCTCACCCTTCAGGATGAAAATATTCCGATGACATCATTCCTATACTCCCTGAGACAGCCAGCAGTTAACATTAATGCCTTCAAGTTGAAACATCAGACCGCTTTCGACTGAAATAAAAATGTATCAATATATGTATTTTTAATTTCCAGGGCGCCTGTACTGCCTTCGAGTCCATGCTTACTGTAATCATATTTAGAAACTAGTACCAGATGCAGGTTTTCTTCGGAAAGTTTTCTATCAGAAAATCCATTCCATTTTAAAGCATGTTGTCAAGCAACCAACTCAAGAACAGTCTGCAAGTGGCAATCATTTTGCTCCCATCCCAACATATTAGCTCAGAGCCAACCGAACACATACATGCCCAGGGACCCTAAAAAGGGAACTATTACCAGACACACGTACACATGCAAACAGCTAGTAGAGAAATACACACCCAGTGAAAAGTGAGTTTCTGATTTTAAAAATAGTTGAGGGCCACAAGCAGACAGACCCCTCCTGTAGATTGCAGGACCCCCTCGTTCCTCTCAAGTTTGACAGAGTCCTGCAGAAACCTCGCCTCCCTTCGGCAGCAACTCTCCCAGCCACATCCAGGCCCCATTGTGTCCCACCTCAGACCCCACCGAGCCACCCCCTGGAAGACAAGCGGCTGCAGGGAGGTCCGGGGTGCGCGGGCCAGGGAGAGGCGCGGGGCCGGGCGGGCACCCCGGGAGCCTGACGTCCTGGGGCCCCCGGGGCCCGGCCGTTTCAGGTCACAGGCGCAACTTCCCGTTTTCCCTCTCACCTTGTACACTTTCCCGAAGGCGCCGTCGCCCAGCTCCCCGATGATTTCCCAAAACTCCTCGGGGTTCAGGTCCCTCTTCACATGCTCATACTGCTTCTTCTTCTTATCGCCCCCCAACTTGAAGATCTTACGGAAATTGAAGAAGGACATGTTTCCTCCTCACGGAGTTCCTCGGACTTGAGGACTAAAAGCAACAATAAAAAGCAAAGTTTCTCCGCCCTGCTCCGCGGCGCGGGCTCGGCCGGCTCCCGCCGCTGCGGCCCGGGAAGGCGGGGCGCGGCTCCAGCTCCCGCCCGGGGTGGGGGGGCGGCGCGGGCGGCCCCTCCCGCCGAGTCCGGCCCGCGGGGCGCGCGGGGCGCGGGGGCTCCCGGCCCGCGGCCGGCCCTCGGGGGGCGGCACTAGCCGGGCGCCGGCCCCGGCCCGGCCCGACGGGTCCGAGCGGTCCGGACGCCGCCGCCGCGGCTTAGGCCCGTGTCACGGCGAGTCTCCAGGGGCGGCGGCCACTCCGGGCGAGGGACGCGGCCGGCGGCTTCTGGGGCGGACGGGCGCCGGCCGAGCTCTCCCGCCGCGGGCGGCCAGCCCCGGGGCTCCTCCGCAGCCGTCAGCTCCCGCGGCGCGAGGCCCGCGCGTCCCCTCGGCTCCGGGGCGCCGCCGCCGCTGGTCTCCCTCAGCCCGCACCGCCTCGGCCTGGAGCGCGCGCCCACGCCGACGCCGCAGCGCGCCCGCGCGCGCCCGCCCGGCCACGCGCCCCGCACCGTGCACGCGCGCGAGCCCGCCGCTCCGGCCCCGCGCACGCGCGCTGGGCCCCGCCCGGCGGCGGCCCTCAGGGGCTCCGGGAGCCTGAGGCGACAGCGCGCGTCTCCCCCCGACGATTGTTCCCAGACGTCCCCCCCAGCCCCAAATCTTAGTTAGTCCCCCGCCTTGGTGGAATTGCCCCCGTGACAAAAATCCTGTTGGTTTGCCTGAGAACGTTGCCCCGATTCTGGATTTGGAAAAAATGTGTCAAGAATGAAAACTGAGCTGGCGGGTCCGGGGCCCAAAACTGGACTTTTGGGCGCCCACGCGGGTCCCGGGCGCCGCGAGGGCGGGCGGTGTGTGGGGGCGGCAGCTTTGGGGCCACCTGGGGCGGGCCGCTCGGCTTTCTCCGAGCCTCAGTTTCTTCGCTGGGAAATGGAGATCCTGGTCTCCCCAGGGGCTGTGGCGGCAGGAAGCGAAGGGTGTGAGGGAGAATTTTGCTGGTTCCTGAACCCGCAAACGCTCAGTTTTGGTTAAGGCTGGAGCTTGAAGCCCCCCGGAGAGAAGGGAACACTGCTGAAGCCCTTTCTCAAGTGATGACCGCGACGCTCCCTGGAGGGTCGGCCACCAGACGTGCCAGAAAGCCACTTCCACAGGCAGAACCCCGGTGCCACCTCTCCCGGCTGCCTCGGGACTGCTGGCCAAGGTCTCGACTCCCCGACCTGCCTTCAGCCCCCTGGACATCACTAGGGGAAGGTGGGGGACGGGGCGTGGGGTGGGGTGGGCAGGGTGAGGAGGGCGTTGACTGGCGTCTGTCAGATGGCGACCTGCCTTCCCCTCCTCCACCTGAAGGGAGCTCTTTTAGGACCCTGGCTTGTTGCTCAGCGTGGAGTCCTAGTACCTGGCAACGTTCCTGACATATAATAGGAAGGCAGATGAATGGAGGTATCTGGAGCAGAGGCCATGTTGCTATCGATATAGTGTCCACATACTCCTCCCCAACTTTTTGCCTTTCAGTCCCAAAATGGTATTTAAAAATCCCTCTTCCAGCAAGAGGGATATGATGATTGTATTTCTCAGGATTCCCCTATTTTTTGTTTTTATTGAGGTATAATTGATGTAAAGTAAGCTGTGCGTATTTAAAATACACACTTTTGTTTTGACAAATGTATACACCTGTGAAAACAATACCGTAATTATCTGTTCTTAATTAGTATCATTATGTAAATGGCGCTAGATGTAATGCTAGTTAATACAAATTCATCGTGGAATATGAAAAAAAAGACAAAGAATAAAAATAAAAGTACTACATGTTTCCACCGTCCAGAGGTAACCATTGGCAGGATATTATTATAATTCTGGATAGGATTTTTTGTCTATGCATTAACTTACAGGGAATTATACTGCATGTGAAAGTTTGCATGCCCCACTTTTCATATTCCATAGGATTAGTAATTGTTCTCTTCCAGCAGGAGATATTTAGTTTATTTACAACTATTCTCAGTTTTAGATTAAAACATCGATAAATATCTTTGTTCACAAAGCCTTTTCAACACAGTTGATGATTTCCTTAAGACAAATCACAAGAAGTAGATTTAGGTCAAAGGGTATAAGCCAGTTTCCTTTATTTATTATTTTTTTTGTTCTTATCAAAATAGGAAAACCTTTACTATTTTCTCAAATTAAAAACTAGTATATATCTTTGCAGTAAATTAATTCATATATACAGATAAAACAAACTAGAAAGCTATCTGTAATTCTCTCCTGTCTTTCCTCTACCCAATTTCCTATAAACTGAAGTTAAACTTGTGAACATAAAGGAAATTTTGTGGGTGGAAAAAAAAGTTCTAAAACTGGTTTGTGGTAATGATTTTACAACTGTATAAATTTGCTAAAAATCATTGGATTATGCATTTACAACAGGTGAATTTTATGATAATAAATTGTACCACAGTAAACTGTATTTAAAAGGCTAGATATAGGTCTATAAATATAAATATGTAACTTTATTTTTTTCTATGCATGCATTTTTTAATATAAAAATGTTATCCAATATGGATCATGGCCATCTTTACTTGCCAGGACTAATAGATCTATGTAATAATTTTTAATAGGTGCATCGAGTCTCAGTGTATAGCTGTTTCATAATTTATTTAAGCATTTTTTTTTTGGCAGGCATTTAGGTGGTTTCCAGTGTTTTCTCATCATAAACAACACTGCCATGAGCATGCATATACAAGCAACTTTGTGTATTTGTATGATTATTTTCCTTAAGATAAAATTCAAGAGTGGAATTGCTGAGTCAAAGTCCATATTAAAAATTGTTTTACCTGTATTACCAAATTGGCCTCTGAAAAGGTTGTATTAATTTATACTCCTACTACTAACAATTTATGAGAGTGCCTGTTTTGCCACACCCTTAATAACACCTAGGTATTATCCCATCTTGTTTATCTTTGCCAAGATGATAGCCCAAAATAACATCTCATTTACAAGTCTATGTTTATTGGTGATGTAAGATCTTTTTATAGGTATATTGGCCACTTTTATTTCTTATTTTATGAATTGTCTTGTCATATCAGTGAATGATATCAAATGATGTTGTTACATTGTATAAATGAAATGATCGAACCTAACATACTCTGATGAAATTATCATAGAACTAATAATAGCTTATTTTTTCTTCATGAAGTTATAGGAACATAAATTATTTAGTCATTCTGGGTGAGGTGTCATTTAGACAGATTCAAATTTTCCTGGTAATGACCATAATATCTAGATGCCTGTGTCATTTGTAAATCATAGCTTGGCTTTCTTAAATTCTGTAACCTTTAAATGTGAAGTTTAAGCTGACCATGTATATACAAAAAGCACAATTTTTTGGCTCCACTCATCTTAAAAACAGTTTAGGACATTCTCACTAGCAGTTTCGGGATGAAAAAGTTATCTTCACAATTTACCAGGTAACTAATGATAACTTCACTGATGGTAGTTAGAAAGATATAATTAAAATTTTTAATGGTATTATTAGTGCTTACTGCTTGTTAATCTATGCTAAGTTTATCTGCATCTCTTTTAAAATTCATATCAACACTGTGAAGTTGATATTGTAACACTCTCCTTGTAAAAATAAGAAAAAGTGAGGCAGAGTTAAATAACATGGTCATGGCCTCACAAGTAATAATGGCAGATTTGAACTTGAATCTTGGTAAGTTAAACTCCCAAGTACTTAACAACTCCACTAAGACTATTTCCTTAGCTTCACTGAAATTCTGTAATAGGTATCTCATAAGATTATTTCCAAAGCTACTTCTTTCTCCTTCCCTTCTTAACTTGAAACCATATTCTACTCCTCATCTTCACTTTGTCAGCTCCCACATGTGTATGTGCATGAGTGTGCATGTATGTGAGTATTGTATTGTGTGAAAGTATATGAGAATACATATGTGTTTGTATATGAGCATGTGTGTATATGTTGTGTGTATGTGTGTGAATATGTATGTAGGGGTCTATGTGGATATGTGTGTGCTTCGTCCTCTGGGCTGAGAGTACTTTGAGGGCAGAGACTGTTTCTTTCTCATTCTTGCATTCCCTGCATCTACCCCAATGTCTTCCCAGTTCATGAATTTTTGTTTAGTAATGAAAGAAAATGAAAAGCTTTTCACCTAGTGAAAGCAAATTACAAGTCAATGCCTTTTCCTTAATTTCTGATTTAGACAGTAGGTTTACTGGAAAGTTCCTTAAATTCTACCAGGGGTTACATGGAAGCAACAAATTTATTTTGTGTGTAAGTATTCTGTGGCATGAATACATTACTCTCTCATTGTAGAGTTATATTTTTGGGAAGGAATTTTTCAGGTATTTTAAGAAAGTAACCTGTAATTATGACAATTATTCTCCCAAAATAAGATTGTGTATCACTCAGAAATTTCCAAATCAGACTTTTTGGTCATTTATTCCTATTTTCAAAGTAAGCCAGCCCACTGATTTAAGTAGTTTTTGTTTCAAAAGAGAAATCTAAAATTATTCTCCCTTCTATTCCTCTCTCTGTCTGCATCATACAGAATTGTTACGCACATTCCCACCCTTTTCTCAAACCGGTGACTTCTACTGAAATGATTCATAAGTACTTGGCAGTGTAATGACAAGTCTTAACATATTCAAATCTTGGGACGTTAAAGAATAAAAACTGTGCAGGCATTTTTTTTACAAGTGGTATTCAAATTCCAGTTTAAACATCTAGACACTGTAACCTCTTTTGAGCTCAAGGACTTCAGCGGTCAACATTGAATTTATTTCATTAAGACAATAACTAAGTGAGGGTAACTCAACTGCAGCATTACCAGCAACCAATCCTTGGGGTTGATAAGAGCCTTTGTGCTATTCTCAACTTTTATGTATTACATTTCTTTCATTTCTTCAGATGTTTGTTGAATGTGATAGCTTTCAAGCACTAGTTCAAAATTATTTATCCTATTATTAATTACTCATATGGACAAGTTACTATACTTTGAAACTTACAAAATAGTTTCACATTTAACAGAGTTCATTTCAGGCAGTTCATTTCAGGTGAAACAATTTTGAATGCCATCCCTCAAAAAAAAAAAAAAGAGTAAATTTTATCTGACCATTTTTTAAATTATATATTCATTCTTTTTTCAATTCAATTTTTCCAGTTTTATTGAGATATACCACTGTGTAAATTTTTATAGTATATAGCACTATATTTGACTTACATTGATCATGAAATGCTTAGCTAACATCCATTGTCTATATGTATACAAAAAGGAAAAACAATAGTTTTCTCCTTGTAATGAACACTCTTTTAGGATCTACTCTCAAAAACTTTAATATACATCATTTGGTAGTCATCATGTCATGCATTACATCCCTAGTAGTTATCTTCTAACTGGAAATGTGTACCTTTTGACCAC